GGGGAAAGGAAAAAGTATAGGTTTTAGTGTTAACATTTATATATTATAAAAGACAGAGGAGAGAGGGGAAGTTTGAGAGGTTATATGAAGGGAAAAAGTATAAAGAATGGAATATAAATGAAAAGTGAGTTAAGATTGAGCAAAATTGAATCAGACTAATAAGCTAGCAAAAATACCAAGTTATGAGACCCAAGAAACAGCCCATTCTGTGCGAGAACTTGACAAATGTAGGTAAGGCACTGTAGTAATTATAAGTAATAAGAAACACTCATATACAGTTAAATAAACATATATACCTATTGGCAGGGAGATATGGCAATTGTTATGCACAATTTTTTTGTTTTATATATCAGGGCATCCCTTCCGACCATTTTCTCCTCAGACATTTGGTTGTACAATTTTCATACATAGCACATTGGGTATTATTTGACATAATTAGCCTGGGTGTATATAATTTGACAGCATTTTTAGGTTTACAACATGAAGCATGTCCCCAATTATAACTATCTATATAAGTGAGATATTTTTCTTGGGATGTACTTGAACAGGGTATAGAGTCGTATTAATTCTAAAGAGGTGCACACCAGAATGAGGCAACTTCCCAATACATGATGGAAATTTACATCAACATCTAGACAGAATTCAGACAAATTAAATGAGTTTGCCTATTGAATCCACACATTTTTTGTGTGATCTAGTCCTCTTGGGGGCAATACTGCCAGTGTCCCAGAGAATATTATCATGAAGGTGAAACATCTCCAACCTGCTCCAATCTTAGCTTTTGGTCACCTGGTTGGCTGATAACCTTCCATTTGTCCTTTTTGACATCTGTGGGGGGTTCTGCTTTCAGATGGTTGTGATGTATCCAGGCAGAATGTCCAGCCACCTTCACTGCCAAGGGAGTTGACAGTTGCCATATCTCCCTGCCAATAGGATGGTTTTATACCTGTGAAAGAATAACATTCAATTACATCCCAGTCAATTTAACCAAGACCCATTGCTGCTTGAGTCATCTAGCTGTGATTCTACCAGATAGAACTGATTTGATTTATGCCAATACAACTAAATGTTGGTCACCCTATACTGCACCAGGATATGATGATGATGTAGGTCTGTTGACAGATGCTGAAGTAATAACTATGATAGCATCTTTTGTTGCCTTGCCTTCTATAGGAGTCCATGCTGAAAAGGCAGTACAGAAATTAGCATGCAAGGTGGTCAAAGAGTTAAATGCTACCTCATCAGCCTTGGCATTAATTAACCAAGAGTTACAAGGACAGAGACAGGCAATCTTAGATAATAGGGCAGTGATAGACTATTTGTTGCTCTTCCACCACCAAGGTTGTGAAAAAATAAGAAATATGTGTTGTTTCAATCTTACTGACAACAGTCCAAAAAGTCAAAGAAAAGGTAAAACAATTGGAAGACTTGGCTCAAAGGGTACATAATGAAGATGGCTGGGACTTGTTCCAATGGCTAACTAAATGGTTGCCCAACCTACAATGGTTAAAACAACTTTTTCTCATCCTTATAGTTGTGTGTATATGCTTACTATTGTCATGCTGTTGTATACAATGGATGCCTACGTTTATACATAAGATTACTTAAGTTGTAAAATCAGTGGGGAATGTGGGACTGCATAACTCTGTAATCATAAAACTCCCCTAGCCCCAACTGTGATTGAATGTGAGTTAATAGATAAAGATGCTTGTTAGTTCCGGGACACTAGATAAGATCTGTATCAGCTATAAGGTCCCAAAGTAAATTACTCAACTCTTTGTTTGTTCCAAACTGATGTTCCGGACACCGCTATCTATAGAACAATCTACAAACATCTGCTGGCCATCAGTACTTGTCAGCTGACCACTAACCTTTGTTCCTCTTCTGTAAATTTCACCTGTTAACTTCCCCTACAGCCCCCTGTAAAAAGAGCCTCGGGCTCTGAGCTAGTTGTCTCTCTAAGCTACTTTGCTTTGGGAGTGCCGTCTGGCCAGACCAAGGTCTGTTTTACTTTCAAAAAACAAAAAACAAAAAAAAAAACCATATATACTCACCACACAAAGCAATAAAATAAAGAAAAATAGATTTTAATGATAATATTCATGTACAAGAAAAGAAAAGAAAGACAGATTTGAAAGGTGAAGAACAAAATGAAGAGATGGAGAGGAAATGTAAATTGAAAATAAAAGAAGATATAAAGAAGTTGTAAACACTTTTGTACATACCTATGCCCCCAGGAAAATACAAAGAGAAATACTAAAAGCAAAAGTATTATAAGTGAAAACCCAGCTACTCCCCCTCTAGATATCTTTTTAAAAGAGTTAAAGACATCATATTATAGTGATACATCCACACACTTGTTTGTAACAGCACAACTCGTAATAGCTAAATCTTGGACACACCCTATGTGTCCATCAACAGTTGAATGGATAAAGAAAATGTGGTATTTACACAAATGTGGTACTACTCTGCAGATGAATGAGTTATTTGTAGATAAATGGATGCACTTTGAGAACATAATATTAAGTGAAATAAATCACACACACAATTATCACATGGTTTTGTTTATATGAGAAACTCAAAGTATATGTAAAGAGCAAAATAAAAGATACAAAATAGAAGTAGGAAGATAAATCTTTCTCAAATGAGAAGGGGAAGGGAGGAGAAAAAAATTAGATGAAAACAAGAATTAAGAAGTGTTATGTACATGTACCAACACCCCACGAGGAATATAAACATGTATTGCACACATGTACTAATTAAAAAAAAAGCATTGATATACTTGCTTGTGGTGCTATTTATATTGTAGTCAACTCTTGGATGTTGTTTTCAAAATCATTTCATGTTTTAGTCCACTTGTTCCCCACCGTATCTATGTAGCTGTGAAGTAGGATAAGTCAGTTAGAGCAGATAGGAAGTTGAACTCTGCCCTTGTCCATGTTGTGAGTATTGGGCTAGGTCCACCAGAAGTGGAACTTGCTCCCATCACTCAACTTGATCTTTACCATTCCTTGAAAGAGGGAGCCAGAGAGCACAGGCTGTTCACTTAAACTGTTGCTTGTGTAGACTGTAGGGAAGTCCAGAGTGTCCACCAAAGCTCTGTACATATCCAGACCATACTTTTGGAGACATGGCTGTCTGGTGTCTACTTGCTTCTGTGTTTACTCTGAGGCCTTTGAGCAGATCAGAGTGGGGTGGGTATGCAGGGACTGTGTTTCTACTAGAGGCCCAGGTACCCAGGCTTCTGGGCCACATCCAGTCTCATACCATCTGACACCACAAAACCCCATCTGACTGAACTCTTGTCTGTCACTGTATTCAAACTTCAACTATTTTTTTACTGTCTCGTCTCACTACCAAATTCTCCCCAGCCCAGTTTGGTCTCTCATGATCTAGGGACTGAGGTCTTTCTCTCAATCTTGTGACTGTAGTTTTTACCATGTTACAGTCATGCTTTTCCTGGACCTTATCTATTAGGACATATGCTGCATGATGTAGCAAGATAACAGCTTGAAATTATAGAAAATGTAGGGATTTTCTGAGCCTAAGTAGGAGTTATGCTAGCTGTGTTTCCACACCAGTTCTGGAGTTCATGTCCTGTTTGCTGTATAGAGGCTGAGGCAGTAAGGGGGAGATCCAAAGGTGGTTTGTCTAAATTTGTAGAGGAAACATGGAAATCATCACTCCTCTCAGTGTTCACTACACTACACTCTGATCTGCTATCTACCTAGGTTGTATCTCTTTCCACCTGGAGAGTCAGCTTCATAAAAATATGTTGAGATTTTCCTTTTACCACTGAACCAAAGTGAAAACGATTCTCCCCCATTGAGCCCCAGTTCTTTCAGTGCTGGAATATCTTGCTTCAGGTCATTTACTTATATTTATAAACACCAAGACCTCAAAGTTCCCAACCTTCTCAAGTTGCAATCCCACAGTGTTCTATCTCCTTACAGAACAGAAATTGACTCCTTCCTTTCTGTAAGGAAAGAGATTACTGACATTGATGACAGATGACTGAAACTTGAAGGGTGATGAGCACCTAAATTCAAGATGCTTCTGTGTGAACCAAAGAAAGCAAGTCTTCAAAATTAGTGGCCAATTTTTAAAATTATGTGTGTTTTAAAACTGGAGCTTTACTCTTCGCAATGACTTCTGAGTACAGATTACCTGGAGCCCTCCCTTCTAATGATCTCTTCTAATAGCGCCTTAAGCTTGGATCAAGGATCTTTCTTGTACTTTCTCCCAACAAATACTTCTATAAATTTGCAAACAACTCTTATAGTAAGGAAAATTAAATCCTAAGTGTAACAATTCCATCCCCCCTTAGAAAAACTGCCCCTTATTTCCTGTTCATTTCTGTAGTGATTTGATTCCATGGTTATACTTGTAATCACTAATTGCTTATTTTACATACGTTTAATAAACATGTTTTCTCTTAAACTAGGTGGTTTCACATGTCAGAGAGCAGAACCTGTCTGTCTTAGTTCTTTTCTTATTGCTGAGACAAAATGTCTGGCACCCACAAGTTAAGTAAGGGAGGAAAGGTTCATTTAGTTCACAGTTTGCAGAAGTTTCAGTCCATAGTCAGCTGGCTCTAAGGTAGGGTGACATAACAGAGGGGCATCACAGAAGAGAAACAGTCCATGTCAGGGCAAGGCAGGCAGAAGATAGCAAGTATCAAGCAAAGGCAGCAGCAGAAACAGCAAAATAGCAGCAGCAACAGGAACAGCAGAAGCATGCATATTTCCATCCCTTTATATTCCATCTATGCTATCTGTCTTTTGAGTGGTGCCACTCACACCCAGAATGAGGCACCCTTAATCCCAGCATCAAATCCTAGATCCAGCCATCTCTGAAGAGCCCCACCTATGAGTGCATGAAACTTTCAGTGGACATCTAAACATAAGCCACAACACTGTATAATGATTTCTCCCACACTTCTTTTCACTTTATCCCCCTAAGATGCTGCAGCTCTTTAATAGAAAGAATTATGTCTGCAGGAAATGGAAGAATTTGTCCAGAGTTCTGGTGAAGATGGTATTGTGGTGTTTTCTCTGGGGTCAATGGTGAAAAACCTCACAGAAGAAAAGGCCAATCTCATCGCCTCGGCCCTCTCTCAGATTCCACAGAAGGTCAGTGCAACCTCTGGCCCTGGTGAGCAGCTTTTCATTAACTCTAGAGACTGTAGCAAATAGTACCTTTTCCTGGATGACTTTAAAACTCCCTACACATGGATCATAACTGTCATAAACCAGGAATGTCATAAATAAAAATGTATCTAATATTAAAATGGCTAGTTCAGTAACATGTGATCATTTGCCACAATGATCTTATCACACTGGCATTATTATAGAAACTTACTTTTGTGATAACTTGTTTTTAATGGAATAGTGATGAAAATATTAGGTCATTCTAAATATTTTGACTGGCACTAACTAACTACTCCTAGAAGTTCTGAAAGATAAAAAAGGAAAAGAAAGAAATTATACATTGAATAGAGGAGAAATACTCAAAACTATAGTCAAAATTTCAGAGTTTTATATTGTCAAAGTAAAAATTGATTTTAAAGTAGAAGTCTAGATTTACTTATTCTTTCTCAATTGAATATTCTAAAGTTAAAAGGAGTTAAAATTCTAATATAATTGTCAAATAATGTGCTTTTTCTAATTTATGCTATTTAATGAACCTAAATTTGTATTCTATGACTCATTCTACCCATATATTTGTTAAATTCCATACATTGTATACAGGTAAATATTATAATTGTGTACATTAAAATTTAGGAGATTTATTCACATGCTTGTTATTTTAAAGCTTTCTGCCTTTTAGTATGGAATCTAAAGGTTGTCTTACTTCCTCAAGAGAAAAAATTATGTAAAATTCATTAGAATCTTAGCAAAATACCTTATTAAAATGGAATACAAGCAAACTACCTAATTCTGTCCAATTAACTAAAAGGAAGGAGAGATACAGGAGAAGGAAAGAAAGCAAGAAACCAAGCAAGCAAGAAAGAAAGACAGAAAGAAGGAAAAAAGGGAGAGAAAAAGACAGGGAGAGATAATGGAGAGAAGAAACGAAAGAGAATGGGTGGCAGGAAGACAGAGAAGTGGAAGAAGAAGGAAAGAGGAAAAAGATAGAAGGAGGGAAGAAAATACAACCAGAAAAAAAATCACAAAACTTAATTGTAAAATTTTTTGGAAAATCAACCATTTGATAGCAAATATGACTAAATTACCTTTAATAAATAAATTGTATAGCACACATATTTTTCCTCATGTCTTAAGTCCCTATATGCTGTTTTGTTTTTCTTTTTTATTTGCTATTTTTCACTTAAGGCCTCATTCCTAATATCTTTTCCATGAGAAACATCAAAATAATAACAGTATGCTTAATAAATGATATCTATAAAAATAATAGTACTGTTCTCAGTAGAGTATTAGTACATCCTTTTCAAATAAGTAGATGTGAATAGTCCAACTATGTATCTTAGTGTTTGCAAATCACTACTAATATATCCTTCTCCCAAATATCACCAGAAGTGTGATGGTCATGTGATTTCTAAATAATTCTCAACATTAGCACACACAACATTTCTGTTTTTGCTTGCACAATTACAGCATTGTCTTCCACAGGTTTTGTGGAGATACAAGGGAAAGAAGCCAGCCATGTTAGGACCGAATACTCAGCTGTTTGATTGGATTCCCCAGAATGACCTTCTCGGTAAGACCATGGGAGGAGAAGAGCTATGCAGTCGGACAGCAGATAAGTTCAGTAACTGTTTCAAAGCAAATTAAAACTCTTTAAAAGCATTAAAAACATCTAATAACTTGAACATTTCACATTTGACATCCAGCTTTAAAAGGCACAGTTAAATAATTGGCCATTAATTGTATTGATGTATACTTTCTTTGGTTCACACAAGAGCATCTTCAGTTAAGATGCTCATCACCCTGCAAGATTCAATCACACATAAGGCCCCCCTTACAGAGCAGAAAGAGTTAAGTCCTGCTCTTTCTGGGATAACACTTTTCCAGGGTAACAATACTTCTGTAGAAAATATCTCCTTTTTCATTGACTGATGGAGTGTTTTTTGTCTTTTTTGTCCCTGAAATTCTTCTAATGTGCTGTATCTTTACCCATACCCCCTTTTCACTCTATTCCTAGGTCATCCCAAAACTAAAGCTTTCATCACTCATGGTGGAACTAATGGGATCTATGAAGCTATTTATCATGGGATCCCTATGGTGGGGGTTCCCATGTTTGCAGATCAACCTGACAACATTGCTCACATGAAGGCCAAAGGAGCAGCTGTGGAGGTCAACATGAACACAATGACGAGTGCAGACCTGCTCAATGCCTTGAGAATAGTCATCAATGACCCTTCGTAAGTACTGCTGCCTATAAAGGCTGACCTTCCATTAACTGTATTTTGCAGCATACTGGAAAATTTGAAATGTTTCATACCTTTGTAATTGGATTACTTTCAAATAATGTAATAATAGTGTAATATGACTGCTATAGAGTCACTTATTTAACCTCAACTGCTGAAGTGATTTTCTGATATTGAAAGACAAAAAAAATAACTAAAGGGAAAGGAAAAATATGAAAAATGGAAACAATGTCTCTATAAATAGGCAGGGGTGGAGGAGTTGAAGGGAGGGCAGGGGAATGAGGAAAAAATAAGAACCAAGATACATCATGTAAAGGTACAAGTTCCCAAGGATGAATGTAATTGTATTATATACCTAAAATGTACCAATAAACTTAATGAAAAAACTTTAAATGCTATATTGATTATATGATATTTTATATATATTTTTCTGAGCAATGTTTAATTTAAGAAATAAATATTTACATGTTAAAAAAAATTAGTAAATACAATATGAAAGTGATAATGTGCCTGATGTTGATCATTCTAAAATAACTATAATTCTCAGCATTAGATAATGGTACTGAATACTGTTTTAAAATAATAGTTATTTCAGAATGATTGTCATATATTTCAAGATACTATAGAAATCACTGTTCAGTAGAGGACTAGAGAATCAAGAGTTTCTCTAATTCTTAGTATGATATTTTATTTTTCAAAAATATTGATCTTGGTAATGAATTGATTGTATCTAGTTATCATGTTTCTTTTGTTAGATATGAAAGTAGGTAAGTTCCATTATTTCTTTAACTCCTGTGCATAAAATATTCATTGAATTTTATTATTGATTTTAAAATTATTGATACAAGAAAACATAATCATAAACAATTAAAATTTCTAAGTATACTAAAAATTATTTAAAATAGCTTTCTATTAACCTTAGACATAATACTATCTCTGAAATTATTTGGCAACACAAAGTTATAGTGCATGATATATCCATATGTTATTACAAAGCATACTTTATTTCTGTTTGAATTCACATGTACAAATTAATTTGTCAAATATATGTATTCTCCAACTTTAGAATCTCTGTAAATAGAGAAAAACTTGAACAAAAATCCAATTTGGAGAAACAGGATTTTAGTGCTAGATTCATTTGCCTAACATGCATAAGGATTATGAAGAGATGTCACTGTTGTACCTCACTTCTGTTTCACTACAGCTGAGAAATAGGACATCTACTCTTTCATTATACCAAAAGAAGTATACCCATGCAATAACATAATCTCTGGCGTGAGGTATATTGTCTCATACACACTTGCAAACATAGGCCATATTTCTTTCTCTCAATCCTAACTGCGTTGTCAGAGGTGGTGAGCCAATCCCAGCACCAAGGAGGAGGCTTCCAGGTTGCCATTTCACCCTCCTCAGCACAAAGGAAGTGAGCCTCTCCCAGCACTCAGGAGTTGGCTTCCAGGCTGCCATACCACTCCCCTCAGGACAGAGGAGGTGAGCCACTCCCAGGGCCCAGGAAGAGGGTTCAGGGTCACCTTACCACCTGCAACCCCCCCCAACCATGTCAAAATGCGAAGGCCCATTACCAAGTCTCAAAAACAGACTTCCAGATCACCTAAAGCAACCCCAAAGGGAAATGAAATGGAACACTCTGATACTCAACCACCTGGACTCCCTGAACTGGCAACAAAAGAGGATCCTGAAAAAAATGAAAACAGAAATAATTTCTCAGATAACAGAAGAGATTGTGCCCATAGCACAAGACATGATTAATAAATCTAGAGAGGACACAGATAAAAAATAGAAGAACTGAGGAACGTGATGGAATCCCAACATAGGAAACAAAAGCAATCCATTAAACAGATATGAAGAGATTTCCAGGAGATTAAAAACTCCATTGAAAGCATGTGCACCAGAATGAGCCAATATGAGGACAGAATTTCTAATATAGAAGATAAGATTTCAATTAGTGACCAGGAAAAGAAAAATTGCTTTAAAAGTGTAAGGGACCATGGGAAATCATTCCAGCAGCTGCTACATGATGCAAATAAGAATAACATAAGACCAATGGGAGTTAATGAAGAAATAGGAGAGAGTGCCAATGACATAAAAAAAAAACTGTTCACAGAAGTGATGGCAGAAAACTTCCCAAGCAGGGGAAAAGAATTTGACATACAGATAAGTGAGGAATATAGGACTCCAACTAGCCTTGGTCAAAAAAATATACACATAAGCATATAATTGTTAGGACTCCAACTAGCCTTTGTCAAAAAAATATACACATAAGCATATAATTGTTAAGACTCCAGAAACCCAACAGAAGAAGAAAATTCTGCAAGCAGTTAGAGAAAAGAAACAAATCATATACCAAGGAAAGCCCATCAGAATCACAGCAGACTTCTCAATGCAAACACTCAAGGCAAGAAGAGCTTGGAGTGACGTATTCCAAGCCCTATAGGAAAACAGCCTCCAACCCAGATTGATGTACCCTTCAAAACTATCTTTCAAAATTGATGGAGAAAGAAGATACTTTCATGACAAAGAGGACCTTAGGAACTCTTTGAATACCAAAGTAGCACTCCAAAAAATTTTAGACAATATGCTAGGAAAAGACAGTGAGGATCACAACCCCAGAAAGCCCAGCAGAATGAATCCATTGGGTGTGATAAGAAATTAAATGCAAAGGGGGAGAATCCAACAAAAAGAAAATGTCATGATGAAAAAAAGGAAGAGTAGCTGTCCTCTTTGCAGATCAAGTGAATTTCAAAGCAAAATCTGAAACACTTCTGGTCGCAAGAATTTCAGATAAGGGATACTCAACTTGTATGTATAAATGTATTGCGAACATGTGTTTTCATTCCTCTTAAGTAAAAACATAAGAACAGAACTGTTGGTTCTTAACAGTAATACAAGAAATTTCTATATTGTTTTCCAAAATGGTCTTAACATTTTACATTCACATTAGCAGTATTAGACAGTTCTAACTGGTTCAAACCTAAGCTGACATTTGTTCTTTTAAAATTTTTAACTTCCTCTCCCTAATGAGTGTATATATAATACAATCTTGTTATTGTATTGATTAGTATTTTTCTGGTTCTAGTGTTGTATACATTTCCTTGTGCTGTTCTGGCTATTTATCATCTTCTTGTGTCTACTTTTTAATTGAGTTGTATTAATGATCTGTAAGTGTTCTTTATATATTCTGGTCTTAGTTTATATGTATTATAAATGTGGTCTGTTTAAGGACTGCTTTTCATTTTCTTAATGATGTCATTTAAAGTTCTAAATTTTGATGGAATCTCATTTATCAATTTATTTCTTTTATACATCATGTGTTTTGTATCCTAGGAAATTCTTGCCTACTCTAAATTCATGAACATTTTCCCTTATAATTTATTCTTTATAGTTTTATAGCTTTAGCGTTTCATATTTAGGTTCATAGATCCATTCCATTTATTTTTATGAATGGAAATAAAGGGTTGACGTTCATTTTTTACATAAGGATAACAAGTATTCTATTGCCATTTGCTGAAAACACAGTCTTTTTCTCTGCTTTTAAGTTGAGTTTACATTCTATAAAATATTAATGTTAAATAGTCTTTCAATATTCAGTGGGCCATATATGTGTGGTACTATTTCTAAATTCTCTGTTTTATTCCAGTTATCTAAATGTCTTTTCTTACACCAACACTGCCTTGATTACTGTAGCTTTAGAGGAAGTTTTAAAATTAGGTAATAAATGTCTTCCAACACTGTTCTTTTTTTCTCTTTTTACTTTTGTAGGTCCTTTGTACTCCTACATAACTTTCAAATTTCAATATTCAATTCTCCATTTATAGAAAGTATACATAGACCTGAATTTTTACATATACCTTGTGTTTTCTAATCCTGCTAAATTCAGATACAAGTTCTAGGGGCTTCTAGAAATTTCCTAGTATTTTCTCTGTAGATGATCATTTCATCTACATATAAAGATTTTGCTTCTACCTTGCCAATCGTATCTATTTGTTTCTTTTTATTGCCAGACTATTTTGCTTTGGGACTATATTTCAAAATTTAATGGACAGAGGCAGAGTAGGCATATCTGCCCTTGTTCCCCACCTTAGGGAGAAAGCATTGTATCTTTTCCATTCATATAAGGCATTTTTGCTGGAAGTATCTATTGAGAAGGTTCTGTTCTACTTCTAGTCTCCTGATAGCTTTTACAATGAACACCTAAAAAATTTAGTCCAATACTTTTTCTCCAACTACTGACAGGATCATATGGCTTTTTCCTCTCTTCTGTTAAAATGATGACTTATGGGGGTGGATTGCCCAATGCTGAACCAACACTGCCATCCCTGTAATAAAACCTCTTTCTACATACTGCCAGATCTGATTTCTAATAGTTTGTTTTGTTAAACAAATTTTTATCTATGTTCATACTTTTTTCTTCTATTATCTCCATCCAGTTTTAGTATTAGCATAATATTGATTTCCTAAAATGGGGGGAGAAGTGTTCTTTCTTTTTTCTGCTTTAAACGTTTGATATAATTCATCAGTTAAAATGTACATGAGCCTGTTGTTGTCATATAGGTAGATTTTTAAGCTAAGAATATACTTTCTTTAATAGGTGCTATTCTAATTTTATATTTCCTCCAGAGTCAGTTTCATTAATTTGTCTTCCAAGCTATTCCTTAGAAGTTGTCAATTTATTTCAAAAAAGATTTTTGTAATATGGTTTCTATATCCTTTTGAATTCTGTGAAGTCTGTTGTAATGTCCTCTAAATTTTGATATTATAATTAAAACAATGTGTAATTGATATTGTGTAATAGGAAAAAGAAGTCTAAAGGAGTAGGGGAAGTGGGAAGGGTAGGGGAAAGGAAAGAAGGGAAAAGAAAAAATATGAGAAAAGGAAAAAAAATGGAAAAAAGTCTTTGCAAATAGGGAAGGGTGGAGGGGGTAAAGGGAGCTCAGGGGAAGGGGAGAAAGTAAGAACCAAGATACATCATGTAAGGTACAAGATCCCAGTGATGAATGTAACTGTATTTTACACCTAAAATGTACCAAAAAACTTCATGAAAAAAAAGAAAAAAAGATCCTAACTGCATTGTGCCAGCACCAGGACATCTCTTTCTGAACCCCTTATCTTATCTCATCTAGATGAATCCAGTAGGTATCCCTTGCTAAAGTCACAAATAAAAGTGAAACCTGCTACTTCTAGCAGTTATCAGGAAACTTGAAGTGAAAACATATCTTGCTTTTAATTACATAAATTTCTACTCCATGCTATTTGAGAAATAATTATGGATCTTAACTCTATCACTATTGCTAATATAATTTCTAATTGATTAGGAACTATAATTCTGTAAAGATATTTTTATTTACTTTATCAACTAAAAGTTCATATACTTGAATACTCCATTTTTGTTAATTATCCTACTATTTTCATTCAGTGGTGATCTTGCTGATAGAGATATGTTTTTTGTTACAAATGTATATAAAGGAGCAATTATCACAGTACAAAGATCTCAGAACTGTACAATTACTCCTTAATATTTACTATATGTGCTGTGTGTCTGTAAAGTGAACTAGTCAGATGTTAATGGCCACAATATGAACGTTTTAAATTACATTATTCCATAATTTTGAATCATTCACCATTGTGAAGTTGGAACAGTTCTGGATACTATAGTTCATATATCAATTTTTAACAGAAAAATTAGGCCATACTTTCACAACTGGATATATATTTTCCTATGTGTGCATTTGACCACATTGTGTTAAGAACACATTTCTTCTACGTATTCCTTTTTTCAACCCTTAAAATCCTAAGCAGTTAGCAAAGCTAATGCAGTAATTGAACTTTTTCAGAATATGTGCTTGACCTTTGACCTGTGTAATAAATAACATATGTCACATAATTCCATTCAAACAAAAACCATTTTTTTCTGTTTTTCCCTCCTAGTTATAAAGAGAATGCCATGAGGTTATCAAGAATTCACCATGACCAGCCAGTGAAGCCCCTGGACCGAGCAGTCTTCTGGATTGAGTTTGTCATGCGCCACAAAGGGGCCAAGCACCTTCGGGTTGCAGCCCACGACCTGTCCTGGTTCCAATATCACTCTTTGGATGTGATTGGGTTCCTGTTGGGCTGTGTAGCAAGTGTTGTATTCTTGGTCACAAAGTGTTGTTTGTTTTCCTATCAAAAATTTATTAGGAAAGGAAAGAGGATAAAGAAGGAATAGATCTTTCTAACTTTAGGAGTCTTAAATTAGGCAATCCCATTAATTCCAGCCAACCTAGAAAGAAAGTCTAGGTTCCAACATGATCATTAACTAGTATGTCCCATTCTTCCTTTGTCTTTTGCCCTGGTTTCTTTACCAGGGAGCTATTAATTCTAAATACATTCTATTCATAATATCATTAAGGTTTTTTTTGTTTTTTATTTTTGTTACCAGGGATTGAATTCAGGACCTTGTGCTTGTGAGGCAGGTGCCAGAACCACTGAGCTAATAAATCCCTGGCCAAATATCATTAAGTTTTAACTTTGAATGATATGCTAAGAATATTTGGAATCCTGGTAAAGGCCCACAGGGTATATGGAATTTGATGAATGGAGGGAATTCACAAGAGTCAGATGCCCACTTCTCCACAGACCATACAATCAAAGAGCCACCATCACAGGAGATTGGTTTATGAAAGGAGGAGAAATGACTTCTTTTTCAATAAAAATAAACTGTTTAGCTTGCTAAATGTTATAGGAATTAGAATATTAATTTACACAGTAATAGTGCATCACAGAATGAAAGGTCTGTCTCCATAATTTTTTTTTTTTGGTACGGGGATCGAACTCAGGACCTTGTGCTTGCGAGGCAAGCTCCAGAACTACTGAGCTAAAGCCCTGGCCTGTCTCCGTAATTTTTATTGAGCACATTTAGATAATCACAATCTATTTTCCTACTCTTTTTCAACAATTATTATTGTGTACTCTCTAGTGAGTTGCAGATTTTGGGTCATTAAATTTCAAAAAATAAATCAATAGAGTTTTGTTTTCAAATACAATATGTTAAAGTTGAACAAATCATCTGTAAAGGAAACAACAAAGAGAAATATCAAGGAATATGCAATTTTGTGAAATTACTAACTCATAAAAATATCGACCACCTTAGTGTTAATTCATTATATTTAAAAATCAGTAGATAGGGGAAAGGAAAGAAGGTAATGAAATTAATACAAGAAAATGGAAACAAAGTCTTTGTAAATAGGAAGGAATGGAGGGGTGGAAGGGAGGGCAGGGGAATGGGGAAAAAATAAGAACCAAGAGTGATTATGTAAAAGTGCAAATTTCCAGTGATGAATGTCATTATATTGTATACCTAAAATGTACCAATAAAATTAATTTAAAAATCAGTAAAGTATAATTCATAATCAATATTTATAATAAAAATTTAATTTTCTGCCCAGAATAAAAACTTATAATTTGATATTGTGGCATGACTTTCCCAATCTGCTTTGCATGAATTTGATCAGTTAATTGCTGTGCTAAGAATACATTAGCCTAATATTTTGACCAAGAATATGGTAAGAAATGTTGAATGTGAATATTTATCACTTTAAAACAATAATTAAGGCAAGTACTCATATTTTAATCAGTTTTTATTACTTTAATAAATACACATTCTCCTGGTGCCAGCTCTCCCATGCAAGTCAATGGAAGGGTAGCTTGTAAAGTGGAGTTCCTTGTCAGAGAAAGCAGCTAGATCTCTTGGTGTAAAGCAATAAACTCGACTCAGTATGAAACAACAGAAACAACAAAACAAATATATTATTAAACTTGTTTTATCCTTATAAAGTTATATTTCTAAAATTTTTATTTCAGAATTTGATATGTAATTGAGAAGATAAAAGACATCCATTAGTGTAAAGAAAATTTTTGAAATTCTTATACATTTTTGTATGATGTTGCAAATTACTCCATTTAAAACTAACTATATGACAATGATATATATTTCTTCTTCCTCTTCCTCTTCACCTTCTTCCTCTTCCTCTTCTTCAACTTTTTCCTCCTCCTCCTCCTCCTTTTTCTTCTTCTTGTACCAGGAATCAAACTCAGGACCTTGTACTTTCCAGTCAGATGTGGCACCACTGAGCTAAATCTCTGGCCCCTACATATTTCTTCTTGAATATATACATTTTTTTTTTGGTACCTGGGATTGAACTCAGGACCTTGTGCTTCTGAGGCAGCCATAGTGCCACTGAGCTAAATCCCCAGTGCTACATTCTTGAATATATACAAATAAATCTTTAGAAAATTTTTGTGAAAATGCATTTATTTACTATTTCCAAATTTTAAAAAGGTGATTCATGTCAGTGTGCTTTGAGTTTTACAATTTTCCCATATTTTGAGTGCAGCTGTTTATATTTACTTTCTGGCCAGTTTGTTTTCCCTTATTGAATGGGACCAAAGAGCTAAAATCCAGCAAAGGAGGACTGGCCATCCATTGGTTTAAAAACTTTGCTCCTTCCTTATCCTCTGGAAGCTTTGCCCATCCACAGAGTACTGCAACATATTGGTTGATACCAAATTCATCAACTCTAAAACAATATGATCCCATCAATGCCTTGAAGGCTTCTCAGAACTTTTCACTGACCTTTGCTATTGAACATAAGAGAATTAAAATTAATTCAAATAATCTGCTAGTTATTAGATGTAATTTTGCCTACATATGACATATTTCAACAACCCAGTTGGATCAGTCATTAAATAGAGAGTAGTGTTTTCCTTAACTGAATTCAGAAACAAGGGAACTGAAAAATACAAAACAGCACACTCATAACTTCCAGTCCAACTAACTCATTATCATATGCATGGATGGAATCATTTCTGACTTAAGAACTACGTCTCCATACTGCATGCCTCCAAATTGCAATAAGGACAAATACATGTTTCTAAAGGAAAGAGTACAGCCCAATTGTTAGGGGCCCCATTCTAAGTTTTAACACCTGAGTGCTAGACTCATACTCTAGCAAATTTTTTTAAAACCAGCATCATATATCAGGGTACAGTTTAAAAATACACTAAATCCTTTAAGATACCACCTCAAATGCCAAAGGTATGTCCTCCTAACTAAAATCTTAAATCGGTGGCATTAGCTAATTAGAACCTGGTGAAATCAGCAAACTTCATGGACATTAGATTTTATTGCATTCCCTTTGGTGTGTGAATATGATTTCTAGATTTTCACCTGTGTAAGATTCATGTCATTAATATTTCCTTGCAATTTTTGCACCAAATTTCAGTGTGTTCTACTCAGTGATTAATACAAATACTGTTTAATGAGTCTGCTCTCTCCTCATAACATCAAATTGCAGATGTGTTTTCAAAGTCCAGAAATACTTTAGGATTTCTTTCAAAAGTACCCTTTGAGTTCATTATCAGCTTTGAAGTGGACCTCTGCAGTTTTTCCAAACTCTACTTCGTACCTGTATATTAGCTTTATTTCTCTATAATTATTTGCACAGTTACCAAATAGAGTAATATTTTAAACCTTAAATTATATTTATCACTGGTTCTAAAACCTCCAGTTACAAAGTTCATATCAGGATCATCTCCTCAAGCAGACTTTAACATGATGAAATTCTAGCTAACCTGGTCCAGCTGACCCATCACTCTTCCTTCTAGTGTATGGACCACTCCTGCCCCACAAGCCAGAAATCACTCACTCTCAGGATCTTTTTATATCAAGTGGCATGCTTTGGGATACTTTTCCCACTTATTTTCTAATCCTTCAGCTTTCAGATTAAATTTCATCATACCAAAGCTCTCTTTTCTCACCCTGTACAATTCCCTCCCAAAATTAAATATTCTGTTTATCTTCTTTATTTCTTTAGGTAAGCATTACATAATCAAAGGTCAATGTTGAAAAGAAAGGCTCTCATATACCTTTCTTCTCACTGACTCCTTTTACCTGGGCACAAAGAAAAATATCTGAATCACAAAATAAATGAACACTCATATTTTTTAGATGAACAGACTTCCATATCTAAGAAAGAGACACAGAAAGCAAATAGAAGATAAATGAAAACCTTTGGAATATGATACATTAGAATAACCAGTTAAGTATATGAAGTAAATTACTATTGAACTCTACATCCTGAAAACAGTGCCTGATAAGGTTTTATATCTGATATGGAGGTTTGTCCTGCTGATCCTGGCCTGAGCTACAGAGAAACATAAAGTGAAGTTTAAGATATATAAAACTCCATAAGATTGTTTAATGGAAAATTTTAGCTCCAGTAATTTCTTACAACATTATAGAAAGAAAATATCTTTCTAGACACATTTTACAGATAACGAAATGGAGACATTTTTTCCAAAGTCATAGTGCTACTTAGTGTTTGGATTACCATAAAGAGAAATAGACCAGAGTCAATAATGCTCAATATTATATTAGATATCTCTGATTTATAAATATGTAGGATTTTAAATGGGAAGGAGATGTTCTAGAAGACAGTGGAAATACCCATAAAAGTAAAATATATAGAGAAAGGATTAGTGGAAAGCAGGCCTTAAAAAATGGAATTTCGGTAGAAACTCATTCAACATAAAAGACAAATGCAGAAGAAAAGATGTTTATACTTGTAGACAAGTTTGTAACACTTAAATTAAGAAGCAAACTATTTCATTTCATGCACATACAAGAGAGAACATAGATGAATCACATATTTATTTCAAGTTCTATGTAATCATATATATTTTAAGTTCCTCTTCATATTACCTAAGATATTACATTGACTCAAAACACTATATTCCTCTCTGTCATCACACTCCACATGACAGAACTTTTAAAGCTTCCTGTCAGCCTATGAAATCCATGCCCTGCTATGTTCTTTGTAAAGCTTCCCTTGCTATTTTACTGTGTGTGCACCTATGTTTATGTATCATCCCATTTTACATCTTCAGCAGTAGTCACTACTCAAAGTAAATGAGGAGGAACCCTAAGAAACAAAAGTTATTGTCCTTCCAGATCTAGATATAAGGAGGATCTAAGTATCAAAGTAAAGAAAATAGGTCTCTTGCATTGAATCTTACCTACTGTTTATCACTTTGTTAATATATAGGTGCTATTCCATGCCTCTCTTTGTGATAATACACATAGGCTGAAAATTGAGAGATGGAAAAATAAAGGTAATGCAAAACTATCTCAAAAAAGAGAAAAAGTGTGGCTGTATTCATGTGAAAGAAATTGGAGTAAAAATCAAAATTGTTACAAGAAAAAAGAAAGAATATATAATGAGAAAAGGTCAATGAAAGTGGAAAAGCATACTAAAACATATGAACTGTGGCAAAAGTAGTTTTAACAGGGACCTTTATAGTGATGAATGCCTACATTAAAAGAATAAATAGCTCAGATAAAGTTTTTACTGAAAAAATTACAAATACCAGGTCAAACATACTTAAAGCCAGACAGAAGAAATAATGAAGTTCAGAGTAGAAATAAAGAGACTAACACAATATGAGAAATCAACAAAACTATGAACTAGCATTTCTTGACTATTTCAACAAATTGACAAACATGCCAAAGGCAAGGCTAATAAAAATGAATTCACAACTTAGAATCAAAAATGTAGTAAGAAAAATTACAACTGATGACAGAAAATTACAAAAGGATTAGTAGAGGCCATTCTCTGTCTCTATCCCTCTGTCTCTCACCTGTCTATATT